GTCTCAAACTCCTGACATCAGGTGATCTGCCTGCCTTGGCCTCCCAAAGTGCCAGGATTATAGGCATAAGCCACTGTGCCTGGCCTGGCTTTTTTACACTTTGGTTTGGGGTCAGGTGGGAAGGCTCTACTTTGAACTCAGCTCTCACAAGCAAGTCTACAAGGTGGTTTTTTTTTTTTTTTTTAATACTTCCTGTGCTTGGCAGCCAGAGTTCAAAGCTCTGGTGGGAAATGGGAAATGCTAGCCTTTAATCGTAGATGACCTCTCCAACACCAAGGGACACAGAGTCCAGTAAACAAACCACGGCTTCTGCTATCTGCAGTTGCCTTCTAAAATCCAGTGCCTGCCCTCTCCCATCTTATAGACAGATTTGAGTTGAAGCAGCACATCTTGGGGAAGGTGGCTGGGTACTGGGAAAAGGAGTTGCCCACAGGCTGTCTGGCAGTCGAGGTATCCCTCTTTGTCATCAAGCTGTGTCTTATGAAGCTGTCTCTTTGGCATATATATCCTACCCTGGGGGCTGGCTCAAAATGCAGCGTTTTACCTAGAGAATTTCAGTTGTATTTTATTTCAGGAACATAAGATTTTATCTGAGATGCTTTAACACGGCTCATAATATTAGACGCCCTCCCTCCCTCTGCATAAACTGCCAATTCTTTCCATTGTTAACACTGTTCATGGCACGCAGCCGCTCCTCAAGACTGTGCTGGAATTACAGGCACCTTTGTTTGTGGAATACCTTGGGAAGCTTGGCACCATTGATTTGCATCAGTGCCTCCGGAATAGCCTTTGCCTTCTCCTTAAAGATACTATCTAAACTGTGAAATTCATTAAATAGCCCCAGAAATGGATCAGGTTATTTAACACAACATCCCTAATGGCGCAATATCTCAGCTGTCTGCACTGATAGTGAACATTGTCTCGGATAGTGTTATCAGCCCAGGACACCCGCTATGAATATTGATCCTGAGCTTGTTACAGGCATCACTTGCCATCAGGACAGGTCAGGGTTGGAGCCCACCTAGCATCAAAGCAATTTAAAGACAGCACTCAGGCAGAATTTTAATGCCCAGGCCGAAAAAAACAAATCAGCTCCATGCACAGCGGGAAGGTGGCTTGCTGGATCTGGATATATTACATAGGAATACCGTGGGTATAAATACACATGTGAGGTTGGTAGTGAGCCAAACACGTGGCCAAGTGTTACTGAAAGGGATGCTCATTGCCTCCTGGTCTTTTACAAAACAGGTGGCCAGAAAAAAATTACCTAGGACTTCCTCCTCCACTGTCCCCCACATTGAAGAATGTATCCTGTTCTTTGGGTAGCAGGTTTCTCTTTAAGCTGGATGAGTAAGAGAGGGCATTTCTATCCCCCAGTGTTGATGGGAGACCCAGTGGAGTTTCTTGTGTGTCATCTATTGCCTGCAGCCAAGTACTAAGCATGAGCATTCACATTACCTCATGCCGCACTGAACACACAGAGCAGAAATACCTGGCCAGGCATGATGGCTAACGCCCAGCACTTTGTAATCCCAGCACTTTGGGAAGCCGAGGTGGGTGGATCATGAGGTCAGTAGTTCGAGAACAGTCTGGCCAACATGGTGAAACCCTGTCTCTACTAAAAATACAAATATTAGCTGGGTGCAGTGGTGCATGCCTGTAGTCCCAGCTACTCAGGAAGCTGAGGCAGTACAATCACTTGAACCCAGGAGGCAGAGGTTGCAGTGAGCTGAGATTACGACACTCCACTCCACCTGAGTGACAGAGGGAAACTCCATATAATAAAAAAAAATTAGGCTAGGCACGGTGGCTCACACATGTAGTCCCAGCAGTTTGGGAGGCTGAGGCGGGTGGATCACATAAGGTCAGGAGTTCGAGACCAGCCTGACCAACATGGTGAAACTCCAGCTCTACTAAAAATAAAAAAGTTAGCCAGGGTGGTGGCATGTGCCTATAATCCCAGCGACTCTGGATGCTGAGGCAGGAGAACCACCTAAATCCAGGAGGCGGAGGTTGCAGTGAGCCAAGATCGTGCCACTGCACTCCATCCTGGGTGACAGAGTGGGACTCTGTCTAATGCAAAACAAAACATCAGCCCAGCATGGTGGCACATGCCTGTAATCCCAGCTGGGAGGCTGAGGCACAAGAATCGCTTAAACCCAGAAGGTGAAGGCTGCAGTGATGATCGTGCCACTGAGCTCCAGCCTGGGCAACAGAACAAGACTCTGTCTTACACACACACACACACACACACACACACACACACACACACACAAAACCTGAAAAATAAGAGGCAAGCAAAATAGAAAACCACTAAAAGAAGGAGTTTGTAAGATTCGCAGGTTTAAGGAATGTGGCCTCCACACGTTCTTGGCTTTCTCTCCAATTTGTTGCTTCTTCCTTTTTCGGCTCCTTCCCTATATTTAACATCTGTGAACCTGAAGGGAAAGATGATTCATATCATTTAGACAAAAATTTTTGAGGTAATCTATGGAGTGCAATGGAAATGATTCAGGTTTGAGTTACTCTTGGCTGTCTGGGCCTCCCTTGTCCCTCTGGTTTGGGGTTTAGGGTGCTCCCTGGAATGCCCACCATCCTGTGAAAATGGAGTCTTAAGGTTTCTTACAGGAGAATGAATAAGAGGGACAGTGGGAAGCCACATACTCTCATCTGGGGCTAACTTAAGGAAATCTATTCCTAGCTACCCTGAAGAACCTAAGCATTTAAAAATGTAAACATGGGCGGGCACGATGGCTCACACCTGTAATCTCAGCACTCGGCGAGCCCGAGGTGGGCGGATCACTTGAGATCATGAGTTTGAGACCAGCCTGGCCAACATGATAAAAACCTGTCTCTACTAATAATATAAAAATTAGCTGGGCAAAGTGCCATGTACCTGTAATCACAGCTACTCAGGAGGCTGAGGCAGGAGAATTGCTTGAACCTAGGAGGCAGAGGTTGCAGTGAGCTGAGATCGCGCCACTGCACTCCAGCCTGTATGACAGAGGGAGACTCTGTCTCAACAAAAAAAAAAAAAAAAAAAAGAAAGAAAGAAAGACAGACAGACAGAAAGAAAGAAAGAAAAAGTAAACATGGTGGGAAAAGGTAGAAGGGGCGGCTGGGATCAAAAGGGAAAAGGGGGAGAAACAGAAAGGAAGATGGAAAAAAAAACCAAGAACTGGGTAGGAAAGCATTGTCAAAACAGAAAACAAAGTACCCTCTCGGTATGCAGGAAAGCTCTGGGATTTGCAGTCCAGGATCCCGGGCACCAGTTTCAGTTTCAGGGCCATCTTTTCTTTGGGGTTTTCACATGGTGTGCATTCACTTTGGTGGGAGGTAGGAGGTGGGCTTGGGAAGGGCACTTCCTTTCCTGAGCTTTAAAAGCACAATCCATCTTCACTTTAGGACTGAAGCTAGTTTGAATTTCGGCAGGGCTTTAAAGTCCGCAGGGAATACAGTGACCACCTCTGGGAGGGGCAGCAAGGTTTGAATGAGAAAAGCTACAAGGAGCTGGCCTCTAAGAATGCCTCTTCAATAACAGATGGGATTAGCAGCCCCCAGCACTTTAATGAGACGGTTTCCCCTCCTCTTCCTACTGCTTACCTGCTCAGACAATATTAATTGCCACATCATTGTTTGGAAACCCCATGGGGCAGAGAAGAAAGGAACCGCAGAGTCAGAGGTGGTTCTGGGCCAAACACTAGGAGAAGCCTCAGAATTTGCCTGAAACAAAATGCTTAGCGCTCACAGACTGCTGTGTGCTCTCGGAGAGACAAAAGAAGAAATTTAGGAAGGGTGTGGCCAGTGGAAGCTTCTCCAGCCACTGGTGATCACCTTCCCAGGGGTAGGGCAGATGAGGGCCATTTCAACTGTTTCTCTTCTCTGACTTTAAATTCAAACCAGACAGGCATTTTTGAATCTTCTGTTTCTGGGGCTGGGGAGGAATGGGGGTCAGAGATGCAACCTAATTCTCAGATCCAATTTCTGTTGCACATGATCGAATTTGTGTCTCTGAAGAAGGCCTGAAGTTTGTGCATTGAGGGCTGTGCTCCCGGTCATAGCAAACCAGGGCAGACACCCTCAGCCATCTCCCTTGGCTCTGTACCTGAAGCCACCAAGGTTTCCAAAGCTGCAGGCGTCCTAGTGGGGGCTCCTCACCTCTACAGACCGCTTGCTGGCCTCTGGCCTGGCTTGGCTTTGGGGTGGAAGCAAAAGACTGACAGTCCGGGATTTTCTCCCTCCGTTTTCTAGAGAGCAGGGTGTACCGAAAAAGCCCTGGTCCAGAAGACCCAGGTCCAAACCCAGACTCTGTCACCAACTCACAGTGACCCCGGGCAAATCTCTTCTTACCTTTGAACCTCGATTTCCTCGTCTTTAAAACGGGGACACTGGTCTGTGCCAGGTGACGCCCATCTCACAGGGATGCTCAGGGAATGAGATCGTGCAAGCTTCAGGGTTTTGTGAACCCTAAACTGAGAGAACGTGAGGGCTTTTAAATCCGTGATAACCGGGTCTGAAGCTATTACTGCCATTCACTGGCAGGGCAGGAGATGCGCTGAGCATTTCCTGGATTCATCAAAGTAATCAGTCCTGGCCTCAATTGCATCCCCAAGTCAATGGGGTGCGCTGGAAAAAGGGCACAAACTCCAGTAACAGAGGTGTGTGTGTCGGGGGGAGGGATCCCCAGGATGGAAGCCTCCCTGGCACCCTCCGAGAGTCCCAGAGGGTTGGGCGGAGGTGCGCAGAGCCGACTGCGCTGTCCCCGCGGGCGCGCGCACCGGGCGCGCGGAGGCTTCCTAGAGCCCAGGCGAGCTGCCTCCGCACCGCGCCGGGTAGTCCTGAGGCTGGCCCCGGCTGCGCCGGTGCCAATCGGAGAGCAGCGCCCCGCTGCTCCCTCCTCGCCCCGCCTTCCCACCCTCCTCTCCAGCTTCACTTGGCCGCGCGAACCCGGCTCCCGGCTGGAGACCTGCGGCCGAGCCACAGCCGAAGGCAAGCGCCATCCCAGACCCCGCGCCGCCGACCGCCGGCCCGCAGGCGACGGGCATGCTGGCATGGCAGGACGGCGGGGCCAAGGCGGCTCCCTCCCACCACAAGATCTCCTTCTCGGTCCTGGACATCCTGGACCCGCAGAAATTCACCCGCACCGCGCTCCCGCCTGTGCACCCGGCTCCCCGGGAAGCCAGGAAAAGTTTGGCGGAGGTCGAAGCGGGGAAGGATGCCAGCTCTGAGGACCCTGACGGACAGTTGGAGACCCCTGGTAAGGTGCAAGGCGGCCCCCGCCCCAACACTGCGGAGTGTTTGGGGAACAGCCGGGCCTGGTGAGTGGCCCTTAACTGCGTCTCCCTCAAAGAGACAAGGCGCACGGGACCGGGTGCGAAGTGTAGCCTCCGCCTCGGAATTGGAGAGATGCAGAGAGGAGGCTCCCCGAATTCCGGGGCAGGGATTTGCCGCATCCCTGCTCACCCGCCAAGCTTACCCGCACCACAGCTCTGACGCTCGCGGCGGAAACTTCACTGACCCGGCGCCTACCTTGCCAGGCTTACTCATTTATCGGGCATTTAATTCGCTTGCCACGTGCTAGGACCTGGGCTAAGGGTTGGGATAAAGGTGATGAAAATTTCGGAACCTGAGAGATGGACAGCATCATTCACATCACCCCCATTTTATGGATGGGGGAGCTGAGGCTAAGGCTTGCGCCAGGGGTCCTGGTGAGTAGCGAGGTCAGGCGCCTACTTCAAACCACCCGGAGACGCCTGCGAGGCTGGGCTGCCCCACGCGCTCAGGCTCCCCAGACCCAACTGTTGACCCGGGCTGGGGGCGGGGCTCTGATGGGGTGTTGGGAAGCTTTTGGTACTTTTTCCTCAAAACCCTTTGACTTACTCCCTACGCTGGCGGACACCTGATGGAGGGGTCAGGAAAGTTTGTGGCTGGAAGGAAGGACGAAAGACAGCAGGAGTCCTGCTGGGTGGGGCTTGGGATAAGACCGGGAAAGGCGGCTCCCTGGAGGGGCAGAGGCTCAGGTCTCCCGGGAGGCTGGATGCCGCGCAGCCCCCAGTTCCCCTCCCCAAGTGTGGCGATGATTTCCTGGGGCCCCGGGCGCCTCTGGCGGCGGCACTTAGGCCCCGGCCGGCCGCCTGGTAATTGTTCGGATCTTCTCTCCGAGGGGCCGCGCTCCCTTCCCCCACCCTCGTGATCGATATTCTATTACTGGAGCCTGCATATCTCCTGCCCGCAGCTTGCAGGTACCGACTTCAAACCCCTTTCCCTGTCTGATCCTAATATTGTTCGATTAAAACTTACCTTTAATAGATGACATCTATCGATCCGGCCCCGCACAAATCTGAAACTCTATTAACACGGCGGGAGAGAGAAGATGGGAAAGGGGGAATTTCACTTTAAAGCGGGGGCGGGGGAGGGCAGAGAGCTTAATAACTTCTTTTTTAATTGCTAGGAGCCCTAGACCAAAATAGGCTTCTAGGGTCTGGGGAGGCACAGCCCTAAAGGCGTTTGATATCTAGATGTCTTAATACAATGATCCTAACCCCCAATATGGTTACTCAATAAGGTCACTATTATTTTTAATGCGGGGTGTCAATTCATTCATTCAGCAAACATTCTTGGACCCGTACTTGATGGCAGATTTGTAAAGGGCAAGAGGACATGATTCCCCTAAAACCGCTGGCGAGGATGTGCAGTCGGGCCTGAGGGAAGCGAGACGTGGGAACAGCAACGGCACCGGGAGTTGGCTTGAGGGGACAGCCGCTTGCTCTGGGGAGGACGGGGAGGAGGTTTGAGGACCCCAAGAGGCTTCTGTTCACCGCCCCCTTCTCCCCTAGATGCTGCTGGCCGAGGCGCCGGCCGGGCGTCCCCCCTGGAGGGTTCCGAGGCGGAAGAGGAGGAGGATGCGGAGGATCCGGGGAGGCCGCGGCGGCGCGAGCGGGCTGCGCGCCTGCTGCCGGGCCTGGCGCGCTCACCTGACGCCCCGGCGGCGGCGTTGGCGTCTGGGGAGCCCTGCGAGGAAGGCGGGGGCCGCCCTGCCGGGTCTCCGGGTTCCCCCGGCTCCCCGCGGCCCAGGCGCCGGCGCGTGGAGTCCAACTGCGCCAAGCCGCGGCGCGCGCGCACAGCCTTCACCTACGAGCAGCTGGTGGCCTTAGAGAACAAGTTCCGGGCCACGCGCTACCTGTCCGTATGCGAGCGCCTGAACCTCGCGCTGTCGCTCAGCCTCACCGAGACGCAGGTCAAAATCTGGTTCCAGAATCGCAGGACCAAGTGGAAGAAGCAGAACCCGGGCGCCGACGGCGCGGCGCAGATGGGGGGTAGTGCGCCCCAGCCAGGGGCTGCAGCGGGGAGCGGCGGCGGCGGCGCAGGGGGCAGTCCCGGCCCTCCCGGCACTGGGACTCTGCCCTTCCAGACTTTTCCCTCCTACTCCACGGCCAACGTCCTCTTCCCGGCCGCCGCCTCCTTCCCGCTGACGGCCGCCACCCCCGGGAGCCCTTTCGCGCCGTTCCTCGGGCCTTCCTACCTGACCCCCTTCTACGCCCCGCACCTATGAATCCGGAGCCTCCGGCCCATCATTGGCATCGTCGTGTGCCCTCGGCTCCTCCACCTAGGTGCTAGTGCGCGGGTGTCAGCGCGCTCCTTCCCTGTCAGCAGCCGGAGACGCCGCACCCCTGCCCGCCGCGTGCACCCGCGATGCTGGCGGGCAACCAAGGGGTCAGGGATCCGCCCCCGAAGACTCGGGGGACCGAGACTGACCTCAAACCTTGCCGTTTCTGGACCTTGCTGTTCACTTTGGGTCAGGTTTAATTCAGTTCAGGGGCTATGTTTTGAGGGTCTGGATGGAGGTTCAGTTCAGGGCTAACTAACAAAGATTACGGGAGGGAAACACCGGGAGCAGCGACGCCTTGGCCGCCAGCTGCTGGCAGCTAGGATGGAAGCTTCAATGGTGCTGCCTCACCCGAGGGTGAGGAGCAGTCTCTGTTCACAGCTGGTGGCTTCCCTTCCTCATGTGTGATAGTTCAGCCCATACCCAGAGACTTCTTCCAAATCCTGAACAAGGCTGGGGAGAGCTTGGTCCTGGAGCACACATGAGCCGCTCTGAAACAGACTATTTTTAAAATGCATACAACTTGGCCGGGCATGGTGGCTCACGCCTGTAATCCCAGCGCTTTGGGAGGCCGAGGCAGGTGGATTGCTTGAGGTCAGGAGTTCAAAAACCAGCCTGGCCAACATGGTGAAACCCCGTCTCTTTAAAAAAACAAAAACAAAAACAAAAAACAAACAAACAAAAAAACCCATACAACTCCATATCTCTAGATCTTTACTTAAGATTCGGTCTGGAGGAGCGCAATACTTGTTCCAAATAACCTCCCCAGGTTGTTCCTGAGAGAGGGGGTACCTTGGTTTTCTGAGTAGGCCAGAAGTTTCTGGTAGGAAAGGTGACTCCACTTTGTAGCTAGACTAACCTGCTGAAATAGACAGGTCTGTTGCACTGCAAGCTTTGAGAACAGCTTGGACCAAACCACACAGTGGCCCCAAAGGCATAGAAATGATACTGAAAGCAGCGATGGCTCAACTAATATCACGAGGTCTATGCATGAGGCTGCCTACTTTGATTTGCAGAAGTTGATACTTTAAAACTTCAGTCCTGGCTCATCTGCCTGTCATAGGGTTTCCAGGGCTTCCAATACTGAGCCAGGGAGAGCTAGCTCCACCAGCAGCACGCACTGCTACTACATGTGGACAGTTGGACTGTTTTTTAAAAGCACAACTCAACATTTTTAGATCTTCATCTAGGATTCTGACTTGAAAACAATTCTTGTTAACAAACAGACTCTCCATGGTGAACAAGGAGGTGAACAAGCTGAGACTGTAAGGGCCAGTGAAAGCAATACTTGGCTGTGAAACGCTGTCCTGTTCATAATGGATTCACCTCCAGGAACTTAATACGTGGACATGCATTTTAACTGCTGCTTTTATGACATCCCTTAAAAAATTAGTTCTGTGAAATTCCCTTGCCAGTTTTGCTTGGAATATGCTTCCTTTAGTTTTCTACATAATATAATCTTGGAGCCCACATCGCGGAAACCCAGACATCCGCAGTTTGTCATGTGTGTTTCATTCTCACTTTTGATTACTTGAGGCCAGCTGAGATCTATGTGGATACCAAATTTCTTGCTACTTCTTGGTAGCCTGTGCTATTAGCAATTAAGTTTAATGATCAATGGCTTCAAAGTAAAGCACACTGTTTGGTGTTATGACCCATTCCGTTACTATAATCTTGAAATATCTAGTTCTTTTATCAGGAATGATAGAAAATATTCCCATTTTCTCCTAAATTAAATGAAGACCTCATGTTCATGTGACTCTCATAGTATTTGATAGTATATATTATTTAATTACTTAATATCCACTAATTAGGCTCTTTTCCTTCTAAAGATGAATGTCCTCCAAATGACACATTGTAACTTTCGAAAAGACAGTTGGTGCCAGATGAGATTAAAAATGCAGTTACTATACTAGATATTACTCACCTTATGCTTTGGTAAACACTCCTTTAATAACTATTTGTTGGTTTCTCAAAAGCAAAATTCCATATTAAACAGGCAATTCAAATGTGACAATTCCTCTGTAATAAAGAAGCTGAATTTCTGTAATAAGTGGGAAGCATTCATTCCAGTCTTCTCAGGTACCAGAATCATAGACTTCAGTAGAAGAGAGGGAAATGGGAGGGAGATGGGAGGCTGATCTGTTCCTGGCCTAGCAGGGTGCCGTAATTCCTGACCCTTCCAGATCGTTGCAGAGTAATGCTTGAAGCATGTGATTTTGGATGTCTGCTGCTTTAAAAGGTCCAGTTGCTTTCCAACCAAATCCTAAGACTCAATCTACCCATGTGTTTGTCTAATAAATTCTTTTTGTAATAAATTCATTTTTATTTGTTTGATTATCCTTGTTCTCTATTAACAAAGCTTTAAAATAATTTTATAATTATCAGAGGATGTATACGTGTATCTCTCCCTCCTCCTCACTAGCTATGGAATATGCTTCCTTTAGTTTTGCATAAACTCCCAAATAGGGAATATTTCTACACTAACACTCCTTTCTTCAGCCATTTCAGACTCATAGATATACCCAAAGCAGCTGCATTTGCAGGCGGTATACACAGACATATTTCGAGCCATTTTCTTAGCAAAACAAAGCATCTTCACAGTATTTGAGTTACATCAACACCAACTTACCAGATTTTTAGGACATTAACTTCTTAGCCTTAACCTTACGAGTTCTTAATACCCCAAAACAGCCTGGTAGGTAACTTTTCAGACTTGGGGCATCTGCTGGTCACAGATTTCTGATGTTAAATGTTACCGTTTTTGAAACCACATAGCCGAGGAGCTGTATTTATAGGCGTGACTGGAGAGCATTTCTTACCTTGAGAGAAGCCCAATCCAGTTTACGGGCAGAAACTAATTCAGTGTGCTTATCTTTATAGAAATAACTTTTTTTTTTTCCCTTTGACACCGGGTCTTGCTCTATTGCCCAGGCTGGAGTACAGTGGCACAATCATGGCTCACTGTAGCCTCAGCCTCCCAGGCTCAAGTGATCCTCCCAGCTCAGCCTCCTGAGTAGCAGGGACCCCAGGCACATGTTACCATGCTTGGCTTTTTTATTTTTTGTAGAAACAGGGGCTAGTTACCCAGGCTGGTCTGGTGTGAACCTCCCAGGCTCAAGCAATTCTCCCACTTCAGCCCACACACTACAGGGACCCACCACCACACCTGGCTAATTTTTTGACTGGACGCGGTGGCTCACGCCTGTAATCCCAGCGTTTTGGGAAGATGAGACGAGCAGATCACAAGGTCAGGAAATCGAGACCATCCTGACTATATGGTGAAAACCCATCTCTACTAATAAAAAAAAAAAGTAGCCAGACGTGGTGACGTGTGCCTGTAGCCCCAGCTACTCAGGAGGCTGTGGCAGGAGAATCGAACCTAGGAGGCAGAGGTTGGAGTGAGCCGAGATCAAGCTACTGTACTCCAGCCTGGGCAAGAGAGTGAGACTCTGTCTCAGGGGGAAAAAAAAAAAAAGAATTAATACTTAAATAAAAAAACAAAGAACATTTTTGTTTTTACATCTGTTTATTTATTTTTGAGACTGTGTCTCCCAGGGTGATTGTAGAAGCCCTATCATGGCTCACCGCAGCCTCAGTCTCCTGGGCTTAAATGATCCTTCCATCTCAGCCTGCTAAGTAGCTGGGTCTACAGGCATGCGCTAATACTCTGGCTATTTATTAATATTATTTGTAGAGACAAGGTCTCACTATGTTGCCCAGGCTGGTCCTTATCTCCTGGGCTCAAGAAATTCCCCCACTTCGGTCTTCCAAAGTGTTGGGATTACAGGCACGCATCACTGTGCATGGCCCTGCCCTTGATTTGTAATGGATTAACTTTATTTTGGATATTTCATAGGAAAGGAATTATAGAATACATGTCCTTTCATATCTGGCTTCTTTTACTGAGCATAATGTTTTCAAGGTTCGTTCATGTCATAGCACCTATCAGGGTGTCATTCCTTTTTATGACTAATACTTCATTGTACCGACAGAGCACATTTTGTTTATTCATTCATTGGGTGGTGGACATTTGTATTGTTTCCATGTTTTAGTTGTTGAGAATACTGTTGCTATGACTATTTCTGTAAAGTTTTTATTTGAACACCTATGTTCAATTATTTGGGGCATATACCTAGGACTGGAAATGTCGGATCACATGATAATTCTATGTTTAGCTTGTTGAGGAACAGCCAAATCATTTTCCACAGTGGTTGTACCATTTTACCTTTCCACCAGCAATGTGTGAGGGCTGCAGTTTTCTTCGTGTATTGGTGAATACTTGTGATTTTCTTTTTCTTTTTCTTTTTTTAAAAATTAAAACCAGGCTAGGCGTGGTGGCTCATGCCTGTAATCCTAGCACTTCAGGAGGCCAAGGTGGGTGGATCATGAGGTCAGGAGTTCGAGACCAGCCTAACATGGTGAAAACTCAACTCAACTAAAAATACAAAAAAAAAA